TCTTTACAACTTTTGACAAAGATAGAGCAAGCGTGTCGTCTGACGTTTTGAACTGGACGGCTTCTGGTCTTCTAAGAAAAGAGTGAAATGAGTATATTGATAAACATTTACAAACAAATAAAAACAAAAAATATATATAAAACAAGCAGCCTGTCGGCTGAGATAGCTCTGCTGTTAGCAATGCACATTTCAATTAAAGAACTGAAGACATCATTAGAAAATGAACAATATGTATAGTATCAAAGCAATCGGACTTACAGTTTTTAACAAGAAGTCGAAAATATCACTTTTTACCAAAAATTACAAAAATATTCACCAAAATAAATAGAGAATTGAAGATATCATCACAAAACAAACAAATCTGAGAGAGGTCCACATGTAGTACCTATATATGTAATATCAAAGCAATCGAACTTGCGGTTTTTAACAAGAAGTCAAAAATATCACTTTTTACCAAAAATGACAAAAATATTCACCAAAATTAGAGAACTGAAGATATCATCACAAAATGAACAAATCTGAGAAAGGTCTACATGTAGTATCTATATGTGTAATATCAAAGCAATTGAACTATTGGTTTTTAACAAGAAGTCGAAAATATCACTTTTTACCAAAAATTACAAAAATATTTACCAAAATTAGAGAATTGAAAATATCATCACAAAATGAACAAATCTGAGAGAGGTCCACATGTAGTACCTATATATGTAATATCAAAGCAATTGGACTTGCGGTTTTTAACAAGAAGTTGAAAATATCACTTTTTACCAAAAATTATAAAAATATTCACTAAAATTAGAGAATTGAAGACATCATCACAAAATGAACAAATCTGAGAGAGGTCCACATGTAGTACCTATATATGTAATATCAAAGCAATCGGACTTGCGGTTTTTAACAAGAAGTCGAAAATATCACTTTTTACCAAAAATTACAAAAATATTCACCAAAATTAGAGAATTGAAGATATCAACATGAAATGAACAAACCTAAGAGAGGTCTACCCAAGGTACATATACAGCAAGTATCAAAGCATTCAGGCTTGTAGTTTTCAAGAAGAAGTCGAAAAAGTAAAACATTGACACGGACGACGACGGACGACGACGACGACGGACAATCACTCATATGATAAGCTCCGCTCGACAAAGTCGACAGCGGAGCTAAAAAAAGCAAACGGCATGCTTGCAAATCTTGCTGTACTTAGATTAAAGTGTGATCTCTGTTCTAGCTTTGGATCAAATTTGCCTATGCAAATGGCTTCCAGACAGCCATAGTGAAATCCAATCCTGAAATGAAATGCATGTGTGTGTGTGCGCGTGTAATGTATCACTATGACAACTTTAGATCAAAACTACCCACCCAAGCAGTGTGGCAAAATTCACAGTAACATTGCTAATGACATAGTCCCCATTGTAATTAGTGGAAAAGTTATTCATGCCTAAAATAACGTAATATGGATCAAAAGCATAGTTAAATGATTTAGATTGTATAATTGGTTGGTCTAGCATCAACAGAAATTAGATGTATTAATTGACTCTTTCAAAATCGAAATATATGGTCTGAAATTAAACAGGATATAGTATTCATGTATTTTTTGTATCCAAACTGAATTTCATTTGTCCAGGCTCATGTACAGAGATATAAGATTGCAGGCAGACAACCATCTTTGATTCAATTGTGAAACTAATTGTCATGGATATGTATCCTAACATGTATAATTTGAAGCGAAAAAAAACATGTCAATGATACGTTTTGAAAATACAAGTTGGCAGCCTGTTGGTCATTTTGGATTTGAACACAAAACAAATCATTATAGAAATGTATATGTTTAATGTTTGTATCGAATTTGAGTGAAAACCGACAAACAAAATGGGTGCCAGTTGGCCATCATTAATCTGATTGCAAAACAAATTATCATAGATTACATGTCCTAACATGTATAATGTATGTACTAAACTTAAACAAAAACAAAACAAAATGGCTCCTAGTCAGCCATCTTGGATTGAATCAGTAAACCACTGCATGTGCATATGTTCCAGATAAAGTACTAGGCACTTGCAGAGAATGAACAGATTTGGTTTACAGGGTTCTGAAATATGACTCTGGCCAGACAGACAGAGACTGAATTGTAATGGTGAAGAAATCACTGGTAATGTGATAAAAAATGGTAGATTTAAAGGTAGCTAGAGAGAGAGAATGAACATACCTTGGTTTGACCAGGCAAGGAGAATACAACACAGTCAAACAACTAGAATGGAAAATAAGAAAAATGTGTAAAGCATTGTCAATTTCATAACTACAGTTTAAATGACACTGGGATAAATATGCAAATGATATGCAAATGAATATGCAGTTAGTATGCCCTCTATGGACTGATTTTGTAGGGATCTTAATGTAAAACGGAATCCCAAAAATTCAGTTGAGCTTGTTGGCTGCTGGGAAGAAATGTCTTGTATGCGATTGCAGGTGACTTCTGAAGGTGAAAACTAAAATCTTGTGGCCCCTGATTTTATTTTCATAAAATGAGAAATTTATTAATATGATTTTTCAAGGTATGATTTTGCTGCATCAGGGAATGTACAAACAAGCTTTTGTTCAGCCTCGCAAAATCTCTGAGCATCAGTGACGCATTCATATTGATGTAGAGGTCACACTTCACGCATTATGTCTGAGAGTTACATGACAGTGGTTACTTACCCTGTGTAGCACACGTGGTAGCAACTGTGTGGAATACTTCATAACAGGAAATAATGACGAGACACAAGTGAGGGCGCATGACAGTAATAGCGGATCCTGTTAAATTGACACGAAAATTTATTTTTAATTGCATATTAACTTGCATATTAAGACGAAATTCAATCGTGCTGCTCGCAATCATATTTTTATGCAAGATGAGTCCACCAAATTTGTGCTAACAAGTAGCACTAAAACAGATTACGCGAGAGCACACTCAACTTAAATTAATTCCAATTAATAACAACGTAATCAACAACACTAATTAAACTCCATTGTGTGATTAATTAACAAATAACTCACAAATAAATGATTGATTCAATCTTCTCAGCAATTTTGTCATTTTTAATTCATCAAATACAAATAAACAAATACCTGAACTTGATACGACAAAACTTGGCTTAATAATTCGGTGCATTCTGCAATGGGTGGAATTTCTAATAAAAATACTTTTTGCATCACACATTCTACAAAACAAGTCATGGCATCCCAGTCTAAGTAAACTTGAGAATGTAGACTGCATGGAGTGTTACCTGTAAGTAAACATAGTCAAACTATTGAGGCCTTGCACATTCTATAAAACAAGTCATGGCATCCCAGTCTAAGTACATTTGAGAATGTCGACAGCATCAGGCCTTAGCATCAATAGTTGAATAATCGACAGATTGATCCTTTCAGATGATTGGGTCAATTAGTAGAAAGGACAGTAGAAATTTGAATGGAATTACTTACTGTCGGTTGGGGCACTAAGCTGTTGCCTTAGCCATTGCTTCGCAAGGTCGAATGATATTAAAGGTTTGATTCTGTTGCAAAATCTGATGGACTCTATCTGGTGTGCTCGGAACACTATTGACACCATGAAAAAATATTAAGACATGAAAATAAATGATATACATTTAAAAGATAAATTTAATAAATATTTGTGGAAGGAATTATATAACAATACAGTAATCTGCATCACATGTTGAAGGTCAACCTATGACTCAATGTCCAAATAAACGGCTGTTTATTGACTAAAAAAGTCATAATGAGCGTTACAATATAAACTTGAGATGCGAGTGCAAGTTCACCGAGATCTCATCGTATTGAGTGATATCCACCTGTGCATTCAAGTAGTACCTATGTATAGTCAGTCATGTGACTGAATAGAACCAACCAGTACATAGTACATGTATTCAAAATCATCTGAAACTAGCAAATCACAGGCAGGTATACAAATCGTCAAAAATGAATTAAATTGATGGTAACTACCTGGATTCTTATTCATCAACAGACTCGTAATAATTACAGTAAAAACAAATAATAGAATCGACTGCACATTTAACCTTGATAAAATCAGTTCATCTCAAAAACAGGTACTTCTTACAATATCATACTTCTTTTCTGTGAATATTACTTACAATTGAAGAAATGGTTGAACTCTTCATCCGTATCGAAGTCTAATCTTGAATATGCACAGCTGGGATGGTTATCTTGGGAAGGGAAACCATACTGTAAAACACAAATACATATCGGTGTCAACTTTTCACTCAATGGAATATCTTTCTTTATTAAAAATAAATATTCCTCTTGGCTTTATAGGAGGCAACACTAATGACTGTTATTATTCTCTGGAAACCTGAATACTCTTCTCACCTTTGATGCAACCAATGAAAAAGGAATGTGAAAAGAGTTGGGCTTAAAAAAAATGTTTCTCATCAATTTAATTTACTGTGACATGCATGTTTTAACACGCACTCACGGCAACAAGAAACACAAATATTTTTGTTGTTAGCATTACTGATAGTGTTGTAGCTAAAAGCGGGTATCTGCCAAATGCTTTAATTATTTATTAGCTTGGCTTTATTTTTGCAGATTCATAAATGCAAAGTTAAACTCAGTTTTATGAAAATTTAACCATGGAACAAAAAACGTAGTGAATATACACCAGACCCTACACTCTTTTTCTGTCAACTTACCGGTAACTTTAGTTTGTTTTTTAGTTTATTTTACTGTCTTTGTGTGACTCGAATAGATAGATAAACAAACAAATAAATACCTTGGTTAAGTTTTTCATTGCTGTCGTCAGAAAACTTGGAATGGCACTAAGTACAAGGGCATCCTGGGAAATAATATCATGCCGGAAGAAAGATGACCAAAGTGGTTGTGTTAAGTCTTTTAAATAAATACTTGGATGCTGTGTAAATGCTAAGATGGCTTGTAAATACTTGTTGAAGTTAGTTGGCTGTCCTACGTCAGTGGACTCTGCACCCTGCAAGGTTATGAGACCAGATATGAGTAATATACAAGGTAGCGATGTAATTATCACTACAAGACTTTTTATAGGTTTTTATGATGTCATAACACGCACAATAATGTAAACCTATATTCACAATTAATTCATTTTAACAAAAAGCCCTCAAATTTAATTAAATTTGTTTAATTCTGATGGTAGTGATTTATAACAATAATAAATCTCCACAGTGTCATATTGAACGCGGAAAATGGTCTAGACGCGACAATTAGTTCGGCTTCGCCTCATACATTATCTTGCCATAGACCCGCCTCCTCATCTAACATGGCATTGTGGGAATTCATTATTTAAATACAGGCATAATGTTATAATTTCATGTGAATAAACATTACATTTAACATGCAAAATAAAACATCGTTTTGGAAGCCACATCAAGGTTATTTGTTGACAAGATTGAAGCACAAATCTTGGCTAAAAGTTAATGATACACCATGTTTTAATTTGTCAATATTCGGAATGCCTGTCAATAAAAGTGATAATCCAAACTTTCAGTGTCAATGCATTTTTTTATGGCAGACAATGGTGTAGCAAAGATGTTGGCATATAGGAATAATAAATCTGATAAAGTTTGCAGGCATCACATGTGATGGATGGACCATTCAGATTACTTTCTGCATAATGCACTGGTGCAAACGAGGGATTGAGGAGCTCATGTTAACATGCCATTCATAGAAAAGATGTAAATATATACAGACCCAGAGAACAAACAGCTGACTACCAAGACCAGTTAATACTTGACAAAGGTGTTTCAGAAAGACGTAGTTTCTCTCATCCATCCCTTCCGCAGCTGCCGACCTATCAGAAAAAATCAATTATTTTAACCCACTTTTATTTATTACGATTCTAGCAATGCGTTTCTAGTATTAATTCTAGATGTAAAATATATGTACGGAAAGGGTTGGGGACTATTGTACAGGGGACTGTCGGTGAATAGCTTGTGGCAGCCAAATTGTAAGTTTAATCAGCGTCAATAACAAATAACAATGGCTTGAATAAGACACAGTGAAGTGAGAAATTGAAAATGAGATTACGCTTTTTGTAAAACCAAATTCAGTGGTCACTTTTTAACTGCAGGAAATTTACTGCATTTCTGTAGGAATCTTTTATGAGTACAATTGCTGCAGCAATCTATCATACACTGTTACAGTATTTAATGAAAGAATGCAATATTTCAAAACAGGTGTGTGGAACAGTTGATTTTCTGTTCGACTGCGAGATCTTGGGAGTTGTGTGAAAAATGTGCACCGGACGTCTGCGGCAAAAATTTAAAGGTCAATCTTTGACAGGGGAATATTGCGTTTGAATACCTTTACTTCATCGAAATTGACCATCATCAAATGTGTACAGCATATTATTAATTAAGCATGGAAATATGGTATCCCCCAAAATACTTTCACATTTGTCGAATCCCTCTTGATGTTTGTCGCCAATACGCTATGACGTTTGTTTGTCCTGTTTTTACGCTCGAATTCACGCATAACGCAGGATCTCGCAGTGAACAGAAAATGATACTCCTATTCACGACTTACTCAGCGGCTCGAAGTATAAGCGACATGGCATCCTCACTGAATAACACTAACAGAGGTTTTCTTTCTTCAACCTTGCCCTGAAAATATGGCAACTATTCTTGATCAATAATGCATATTCAAAGGTCAAACTACGATATCATGACTTGGATAATGTTAATCACTGACATTGAAACTGAGAAAGTTGTTCAGTTTACAGAGACGTTCAATTTCCAGAGGTCATATGAGCAGGAACAATACAATTCAATATTAACCATGTGCAAGTCCATACACACATGAAACAAAAGACTATATGAATCAGTGTACCTTTCTGTTTACAATCATTTGCAAGACTTCCGCTGCGCCTTCTTTCAGTTCTTTATCATTGAGTAGCAGACAGAGACTCTGCAGAAGTGCATTGTCTTGTGCCGTTATATTACTGATGTGAGCCCATTCAGCGTACCCTGTGAATGCCATCAAGACTGCCTGCGCTACCCGACAATGTGCCATGGCCTGAAATATACATGCTACCAAAAATTACCATCCATCCTCTTCCTGGAAAACTTATATAAATACATCAGAATTGTATGTGGTGTTCACACAAGGTATTGATTCTATAGCTGCCTTAATAAATTTGAATAAATCCAAAATGTGTAAATGATTAAATTCAATCAATTCAATAATACAGTTTATAGATAAAATAGGTCTAATTATGACAGTGTGGGGGATTTTATGATTTCTAAAAATATTCACCATGTCGAATCAGACAGAATAAGAAAACAAATTAAGTTGCCTAACCAAATATATGTTGTATACTATATATAATGTATACAAGGAGATACAACACTTTTGTACTGATATCCCAGAAAACGAATTAATCAAATAAATCACAATTCTTGAATATTCATGATTGTAATTAAATTAGATATTCTAATGAACAGTGAGGATGCACACATACCTTGGTTTTCTCAGCATCAGTACTTGCATTCATCTGAGAACAGAGATATCATTCGTTTTTTTATGAGTTTTAACACACTGACACATTAGATAATATGTTGGATATCATTTCTTATTTATATATACAATCAGAGGTACATTACTTGGGGTTTGCAACTCGCATAGTACTGTATGGTGACATTATGTCAAGATCCCATTCAAGTCTCTTCTCGTAAATAGCGAGACTGAGGCTACGACCTTCTGACATGATGCATATCAATGTTCAAGGTTTGTAATGAAAAAAATAAACTTTTCTTGTCACTATCATAGTGAAAAATGTAATACATCGAAAATGTACAGAAAATATAGTTCTCGTAATACGTCACATCGTGGGCAGCTTTTTTGATCCACCTGGACATCCCAGTATCCTAGTTACCTCGGGCATGCGCATTCGCATTTTTTCTGAGTTGGAACGCTTATGCAAGATTGTGACGGGATCTTGGTATCTTGTCACTGTAGTTACAGACCCCAAGTAATGTACCTCTGATACAATATATTTTGAACAATTTTAGAAAAATGGATGAAAAAATTGTATTTAGATAAAACTCCTACACTGGAAGTGGGAACATTTTTATTGCAGCTGTTTTAGTTGGTAAATGTACTCCAACCTCTGACTTCTGACCCCCCCCCCCCCATGCTCAGCTATAAAGTTACAAAAAATGGTAAAATAATGGTCAGAGTTGAACTATGTCAGTATGTGCTTACCATCAAGTGATACTGAGTTGTATGCGTTTTCAATAACGCTAGAAGAAACGAAAAAAGTTCTGACATATTTGCCGTCAGGGCCTGTTGTACATCTCGTCTTCTCTGTGACTGCAGTGTTTGGAATGCCACCACATCCTCCGCTAACCTCAAAAACATTAACAATACCAATTCAGTTTGAATTTCCTAGGACATGTATGAAAAAAAAACTATTGTTACAGAATTCAACTAAGTCAATGATTAAAGTTGTACTGCAGGCAAAACTTAGTTGAAAGCCCTTTTTAATTTTGAGTAATCAAACATGAAAGTTACGGCTTTTGCAAGTTCAACAGAACAAAAGCTGTCGCATTGTGTTATTTATCAACTGAGATATTCTATTTTCTATTCATAAATCTTGTCATGCATTAATGTTAGACTTCGGGTATGCGTTAAACATTACCAATCTAAGAAGTACATAACATTCAATGTTAGCTCAAGCGCAATCGATAACATGAGTAAAGATAGTCATCTTATAAACTTAAAAGAGAGGTGTCTAATTGTTATACAGAAAACAAATCCAGAGTCCAGCGAGCGGACATCTCAAGTTAAACTTTAAGTTTAATAACGAATAATGCATTGAATATTCGTTTTGTAATATATATTCCATCTTCGATTGTCAAATAGAACCCTGCATTTGATTTAATGATTTAATGATCGATACCCCAAGACACTGAAAACTCACAACTGATTCCACTGAAATACTCAGTGATGTTTGGATATTGGCAAAACATTTTGTTGCGGTAAACATTTTGCAAGACGTAGCATATCTTGCAGTCAGCAGGTGCAAGACTACTGGAGCATTACTCAACAGGTTGTGATAAAAATATAACTCAGTCATCATGAAATTTGCTAAAAGCTATGCCTCATTCAGGCACGAAATGATAGCGAATTAATGCACAGTTTATACTCAATTTAGTTCCCTTACATGCAGTAAAACTGATAATTCATCAAAGACTTCTAAATGACCAGTTATGTACGAATAGGAAATATGTAAACAAATTCTGGGAGAAATGAAATTTCCTAAACTGAAGGCTGTTAATGATGCAATATATCACATGGTTTTAATAACAGAAATATTACAAAATCCCTGTTAGTGCTTACCCCTTGTCCGCAAAGACAATTCAGCTCACTTAATAACGTAGGCCAGTTTTGTGGCCATTCTCGTTTCACCATTTCCACCACAATTCTTGACAAACCGTCTTTGATGTACAGCTGCTCATTTAAAATATCTAGTGTCCCCTTTGCATACAAGAAAATGAACAAAATTAATTCAAACTTTTCGTGAGATTCTATCAACGACTCAAAAACAGATGATGGCAAAAAAAATATGAAAAAATATATCAAAATTAAAAAAAAAGTTGCGCCATCATTTTTGATGGAATAAATCTCACTATTTGTCAAAATGTTTACTCCACTATTTTTTGGCAAAAACAAGACAATTTTACTACCCGGTATCTCCAATTTTGATCACAACTTTTTTAAGATTTTTTTTTACCTTTCCCGGCGACTACGAATTTTAGAATGTGACTGCTTGAATAAATGTAAAAACTTTGTGAGTAAGGACAAAAGATTACAATTCCCACCATGCATGGAATTCTTGCCGAAAGACTCTGGTACCACACTGGCATTTCCAGCTGGCAAAATCATATTAGCAACAACTAGAAACACAACTTACCGTGCTGAGTAGCCGCATCACGGTCTCTTTAAAGGTCACTTTGTCTTCAGGGCCCATTGAATTCCAACGAAATCTAAAATCAGATGTTGAAATGAAGAACGTAAATTGAGCAAAAAGACCAACATAAAACTCAAATAACAATCAACCTCTGCTCAGATGCATAAATCTTTTTCAGTGCTTTCAATAGGAGCTGAATTCATGATTACATGTCATGTTTGTCATATTTTTATCATTTCATTTCAGGTATGCATATTAATTAGGTCACATGACCATATGTGGTCATCTGATACATGTATGTTGCATCACTTGTCAAATGCCTCCATTATAACAGTAGTTGCATCTTCTTATTGGCAACAGTGCTTGAGATATTACAGTTTTGCATTTTAATGAGGTCACATGAACCCATTTGTACAAAGAAGGTAATTTAATATGCAACCCTGAAGTTATCAGATCTGTGGATTATCTAAAAACACCTATGTATCAAGTTTCATTAAGATATCTGTGAAACATCTATAAATCTGTTAATTAATGCAAATTAGGTAATTAGTAAGCACAAAATTTAACCCTAAACTTAACTTGTATGTGGCTTATCCAAGAGCATCTACGTACCAAGTTTCATTCAAATCTAATTAGTGGTTGAGATATTCATGGACCAGCTAAAAATGGCTAATTAATATGCAAATTAGGGCAATTAATAAGTACAGATTTCAAGCAATGACTAATCTGGTCAGCACATTACCCAAGAGCATCTATGTAAAAAATTGAATGGTACTTGAGAAACAAGGGGCAATGCTTAAAATTGTCTAATTAATGTGCAAATCAGATCATTAATATGCACAGATTTCAACCATAATTGTTTTTTGAGATACAAGTGGAACAGCTTTGTCATGTATAAGTTTGAAGGCTGACAGTAGAATATGCCATATTATGTACCCATTGATATATATTTTTCCCAGAAGGTGCTTTGGTCATACATGCTACATGCAAATTAGCAAGTTGATCGGTTAAAGCATTCAAATGCACCAGTTTGTTGCCATTTTTTCAGAAATCCAAAATGGAATACAAACAGCATTATTTTATTTTTTCATCAGAACCTTTTGCCATCCATTCTACATGCAAAATATCAAGTTGATTGGTTAAAACACACAGAAATAAATGCCTCACATTGTGGCCATTTTTGCAGAAAATCCAAAATGGCCGCCAATAATGACTTATCAAAATTATTTTATTTTTCTCATAAGAAACTATGGTCATATATGCTACATGCCAAATATCCAGTTGATCAGTTAAAGTACTCGACAAAATCCTGTGATTCATGTGATCTGAATAATTTGTTTGCTGTCTACAGAAGTTCAGTACAAAAGATGCAAAAAATTTTAAAATAAATAAAAAAAACTACATCCAGTTTAAAAAAAATTAAAGATGGTGGCCTAACCACTGGACCAATCACAAAAAGCAGTGCAAACTTTAATGACCATTATACATGTATGCTACAAAAAACAAATTTCAGGTCAATGAGTTCAGTGGTTCTGAAGAAGAAGATTTTTGCTATTTTTCGTAGGAAAAACAAGGCAAGAAAGGTCATGTAACCACTAACATTTTTATTCATGAAATAGGTAGCCTATAGGGTGTAATTATTAATAATATACTATACATATTTAATAAGGGTCAATTTAAGTTCAAATTCTATTTATGCGTCATTCACGCAATATGCAAAATATCGCAGTAAACAGAAAACCTATTATGTAATAGAATCTTGCAAAAGTCTCCGTGACTGTGTCTTTAGGAACTTAAACATAAACTCCTACAAAATTTATCAATTTTATAAAATTCATGAAAATTTGTCTCTCATGTCCATGATGTCTGCTGATGTAGTTACCATGCAGTCAGGAGTTTGATGGACCTTTTGCATGACCCCCTAAAGGTCATACATCCTGGTACTTTCTGAGGTATCATTACCTAATAACAGCAATAATTTCCATTATCTGTTTTTAAATTTAAATCTCAATAACTGAGAAACTGCTAGTTGACTAATTAAGAAAGTGTCAAGATAAGTGACATTTAGGGAGACCTGCATATTTAAACATCAATGAAATAAAGAATTATACACATACACACAGTAATTGATTCTTGAATCCATTGGAGTTGTTGTCATACATCACCATGCATGATTATCCAAGTTTCTATTTGATAATCATAATCACACACACTCAAACAGACTCTATATATTACAATAGACTCACTTAACACAGTGCTCCAGAAGCTGCAAACCAAAATGTCTTATAACAGGTGAATGATGTAAACCAACCAACTCAATACCACATGCTGCACATTCAGGTGACTTCTCTTTAAATTCTTCACACACCTGGTAACACAATATATATCAACAGTTTAGAACTCTTTCTTAATGTCACTATTTTGATTGTAATCCAATTTTCTAATCAAAGTCACTGTCATTATTTCACTTCTGAGATCGAGTGTCTGAATAATAGTGGTATTAATTATTATCTTTTTTCATAAAATAAACCAAAAAAGTCCATAGATTCCAGATTCATTGGAAATACTAGAGATAATGTTTTCTGAGCTGCGCTGAGAACTATTTTATCATCTCTCATATGCAAGAGTGCCAAAGTGATTTGAGAAGAGGCAGCCATGTGGAATGAAATATCACGTTATACTTCCAGAGTTTAGGCAAATCACGTTAACGTTCCATACATTACGTAAACGCACCATGCAGGCTGTTGAATTTGGAACATATTAAAACAGTAAAATGCAAAATGTTAAAAAACCAAGTACGGACAGGTTCACCAACTGATCAGTAGATGAGTATATGACATGTGAAAAATTCTTATCAATAAACACAAAGAAAATATGATGAATGTCTTCTTGTATGGTTACACACACCCGGAATTGTTGTGCCAGACTGTCAGACGCCTTGTGCAACAGTGCTTGCCAGTAATATCACAGAAATTCAAATAACCACGCAATTTTTTTTTATTCGCTGTACCTCAATGAATACTTGTCACATCTGAGAGATAAATCTTCATACACAGTGTACACCTCAGTTGCAGTTAGGAATTGTTTGAAACTATGATCAAGAGCATGTGTAAATACAATTGATAGCATTACCAAAAAAAACTTTTGCAGTGTATTCCGGCCACAAATGATTTGTGACTAAGTATCCGATGAATTGTTCGAAAAATAAAATAAAACCAACACAAAAAAATGGAAACTTTTTAGGTATATAATGGAAATGTTTGAAAAATCAAAATCCTAATACACAGTAATGTATATACCCATAGTGGCTGATGAAGTTGTTACTACAAATCATTCATAGACTATGTTATTCATCAGTAAAATGCTACCAAGAATTTCGAATCTAAGGTCTGGGTGTTTATTATGTACTAGTATTCAACAAGCATGTGTTTACAACAGCACGCTCCAAGCGGGGCAGCTGCTCTATGGTACTCGGGTTGTATTTTTATTTAACATAAAAATAAATACCTGATACGCATCTAGACGCTTTTGGTGGTCCACTGATGGGTTCATTGCCGTGTTCACAGCTTTCACCAGCTGTTGGACGATTGCGGACGACATGACTGCTCATCCAAAGCGACAGTTACTCGGTATAATAATACCTGCGTGCGTGACATGGAACATTCACAGGCGGCATGAACAAAAGGGCGACCCCAACGTCGTCGCACTTTGACCTCAGTGATTACCCACAATGCGTCAGTTTTGACAAGATGCTCGTACCTTGCCCCGCTATAACTTTCTTGGACGGGGCGCCATGATCCACGGGTCCAGATATAACCATGGAACTATTTTTAACTTTTACTTATTATCAGTTTCATGCTCAATTACAGTAACGTGACGTGTAGTTGATTTGTTCATGTGGAAAGGGTTTGCAGTCACTTGAGAGTTGAAAAATTCAAACCAGAAATTCGAATTTTATGTAAACAAACGATGTATTTTACACGCATTGCGATCAGGACGCAGCGCGACGACCACTGCCCTTTAATTTAACGACTATGTTAACATAGACAACAAGTAAAAGGGGCTTTAAAATGTAAGCACATCCCGTCGTGTTTGGGTGGACCATGGAGGTAAAAGACATGGGTGGACATAAAGACACACCTAATTTTTCTTGTCTTTTTTCAGAAACCGAAGCAGGTTTACAAAATTGTTTCAATAAGTTGGCATCCTTATGCAGTATGTGGAACCTAAAAGTAAACACATCTAAAACAAAAATTATGATTTTTAATAAAAATGGCAAATTATTAAATCATAAGTATTGTGTTTGTTATGAAAATGAAGAACTAGATATAGTTAAAAAATTATAGTAAATATTTAGGAATAGAATTTAAACCAAGTGAAAAGTTTGACCTAGCAAATGAATATTGATATAAAAAAGCATTAAAATCATTTTTAACTATATCAAAAAAAAAATAATTAGCACATCAACAAATATCAACATAGCAACTTGGATCAACATTTTGACCATATAATAAGACCAATACTAACTTATGGATGTCAAATATGGGGTTCAGAAAAATATACAGATAAAACATACATGGACAAATTGAATTTGAAATTGTGTAAAATGATTTTACAAGTTAACCAGTCATCATCAAATCTAGCAGTTCGTGGGGAATTGGGGAGATACCCAATTTCAGTTTTCATTTAAAAAATGATGGTCAGATATTGGTATAAACAAACTAGTAAATGAGGCAATTTACTGTAATATTATTGATCAATCACAATGGGCAAAATCAATACAAGAAATAATAGGCGAAAGCGAAATTAATAATCATTGGAAAGAGACCAAGAAAAGCATACATCACATAAGTGATCTAATAGAAGCCAGTTATGTAGATTTGTGGAGAAAAGCAATTAATTCAGAAAAATCTAAATCTGAGGAAAATAATAACTTACAGTAAATTCAAGAAAGAATTTATAACAGAGCAGTACTTGACAAAAATTTTAAATCCAATTTATAGAAAATATATATGCAAACTCAGAATTAGTGATCATAATTTAATGATAGAAAAAGGTTGTCATACGAGACCAAAAACGAAAGCGGATGATGAAATGTATGAAAGGTGTGATACTAATAAAGTTGAGGATGAATTTTACTATCTGATTGATTGTCCACAACACATAGAAGCAAGAATGAGGTTATTTCAATCAGCACAAACCACAAATTATAGTTTCAATATGTTAGATAATGAAGCAAAGTTTATATATATTATGGGCAACATACATATAGAACTGGCAATTTATATTAAAGAAAGTGCCATTTTCTAAACCAGTGTCAACAGTATATTTATTTTCATCTCTTCTTTTTTGTAGTTTTAGTCTTGTTTCTTAGAATAGTATTTGACTATGTTCTATTCAAAAGTTATAAAGTATATTAATTTATAGGGATTGAAATATTCGTTAAACAGCAAAATCTCAGACTTGTATTAACCCAGCCATTCATTCACAGGAACGTTTGCATTGACTCGCTTATTGATTGATAAACTATCAATATAAATGATACGATGTTGACGTGATAAATTACGCGGTATGCACGCTACACATGATATTTACAACTATTAGTTGTCATTCCCGTTTGTGATTCCCAGTATACGTCCGGTGACTACGAACTATAGGTAATTTTAAAACGTGAATTTAGAACGTCAATGCACTGTATTTTATTAGAAAGCATATCATTTACCATTCGACACCCGACAGTGTTTAATAATGCTTAATAACACTCACACAGAGAAGACAAAACCAATTCTTTCAAACAAGAGAAATTATATTGGGTTAGTTTGAGGCTTGGTGATAGATATTAAGTCTCTATTTAGTGATATGTGCTACTTGAATGCGCATTTATTTATTTTGAGCAGCAAGATGAATCTTTTCTCTTGTGTTTCATTATCAAATGGTTGGATTACGTTCCTAGCCAACACATCCTTACGATGGATACTGTATTTATTACTTTCCTCTAGAAAATTAAATTCCATCTTCACTATGACCTTCGTTGTCACAGGTTATTTTCATCGTACTTGGATGTTGAGACTTAAAGGGCGGTAGTCGTCGCACTGCGCATGTGCGACATTTGTGTCGATGAGCATTGATTTTCACACAATCCAATGCGCTCTTTTCTGTCTTTTTTAATGTAAATCATAAGTATGAGGTTTGACCTGGGCGCGACATGCACTAGTCACTGCCGATGACTCCTTCAATACCTTCCAATCACCTAAAAATACCCAATTAAGGATCGGTAACGCCTCAGTTTGTACTCGTTGATCTGGCCAACAGTCAAAGTCGCCATCTTTGTTCATTTGAGACCCATATATCTCGCGCATGCGTGGCGCGACGACCATCGCTCTTTAAACGGAAATTAGACAACGAGGATATGTAGATCACAGTGGTACGTGTCTAAGTTGAGCTGACATTTTTATTTTTTGTCTTTCTTATTAACAACAAAAATATTAACACAATATACTAGTTTATGCAGTTCATTATAGTCCACACGTTAGCGAATACTGTATTCATCATCATACAGCAATAAAAAAGTTATATTTTACAATAATTGACAATATATATTAAAATCTCTCAGTTCATAGTGTATGCTCTGTTGACATCTACCGAGCGAATTGCTTAAACTCCATGACATTTTAGATAGATACTCAAAATATTGAGATGAATCAGATGTTTACTGAGTACAAGCGGATTCCTTCACAAATTAAGTCGAGAACATAAGAATACATACACGCATATTAACACACAATACGTATTGGTGAGTAAATGTTAGTGTACGGAACTATTGCGACTGCCTGTGCATAAAAGAGTAATTTTCGGTGGGTATCATGTGATCTCTAAAATCTTGTGAATTCAGTGCCGTCATTCATTGTCCCCGTCGTTACAATACCGTCAAAACTTTCCAGTGACTCGGTTTCCCTGTAACGTATTTCCATCTCGTGCGCCCCGTTTCCCATACCTTTCTCGTTAGTTACCATAGCCGCCAAACTGGTCGAACTAGGCTCGTTGTGTAAATGGTGTAGGTCGCCTTCTATGATCAGGATGTCCTCGTCTTTTTCGACATCGTGCGTAACATAGCGTGAGTTAAGCATCCAGTCTTTGGGTCTGTCAATCAATAAAATGACAATTTTACCAGAATTAGACACGAATCCAGTTGCTGGGATGTTCCACCTTTTCCCAAATATAACATACCATCGAATACGTCGCTCACTCAGCCAATAACTGATTGAACGAACTAAACAAAAATTATCAATTTACTACACGATTTTATCCATACATCTTGGAACAATGCATCCACACTTACCTGCGGAACGTTGCAAGTAACGCAGGGTCGATTTCCTTCGATAACTGTCTTTCTTCTTTAGAGAAGCATCTGTTTATTTCACTAAACAACACGCCGACCACCAAGGTGACTAAGCAGCTCCACGTGCTGTACCACATAAATGATAACTACAAGAAAACGTATGGGTAAATGAAACACCGCGCGAAACAACGTCTAAACAGAGCAGTGCTAATTACGAGTTCAAAATTGCATGTAAATTAGATATGCGCATAAGTAGTTTTTGCCATCAAACATCACGCTTCGCAAAAATAATACAAGTAGAAAACAAATCTTTAATTTTGAGTACGAAATAATATCCTCACATTCAATAAGAACAATTAGAAATGCGACAATACCGAGTAAATCGGAAGCACTTCATCCAGACAGTCAGAGTATATTATAGCACCGATAGCAACCCAACACCCCATAGAGAAACCTATAATCATACCGGCTAGTACACCCCTGTTAATTAAAATAGAAATATATCATACGTCACTGTGACAATGAAATGAACAATACGTCTCAATATTGCTGTTGTGTCTAAAACTTAAAATTCAAGTAAACCAATTTCTAAACATATAGATCGATCAGCGTGACCGGGAATTCAGTGGAATTCAAAACGACACTGTATGTTGATGGATACATTGGATTATGATTTATCATTAAGATAATATGATGTGCATGCACCACCAAATAGGATTTAATACCACATTGATGTTTTACACTGTTTATATTAGTATGTTCAAAACACGTTTGTGTGTTTTGGGATCCTATGCCGTATAATAGTAAGTTAGTTAATTTATAATAGTGACCAGTGTATAAAAGACAAGCGCGTTTTTTTAGACACTTTTAACAAGAAAATATTACAGAGCTGCTGTATTACCTGATATAAAACACTAAAACAATAACATAACATAAATACATTTATTGTGTGTTGTACAAACGCGATTTTTTTTCAATCTGCCTTTGATATGAACTTTGCGGTGTTTATAATACTACTCCCCTAATAATTTCTAACCGGGTTTGCAGCAGATTTCATATAACAATATCGTAATATCTGCAAACCAGTTTCAATCAAATAATGATCATTGCTCAATACCCCTGCAATGTAGACTGGGTGTACGTACCATTTAGTTGATCTTTTGTAGAGCAAACCCATGACAAATGCACCGGTCATCGGACCTCCTGATGTACCGAAGACAGCGTTACTCACTGTTACCAACGATTCCATGTTAGCTGCCAAGATCGCTAAAAATATACCAATTATCCCGTAGAAGAAAGCTGCAAAATAGAATATTCAAAGTATATGTTACATAAATTGGCCGAAAAAGTGGCCAATTGATCCATCCAGCAATCAATCAATCCCATTAAAGTATCTTAGATGTTGCAATTACAATGTTAAATCACATACCCCCCACATGAGGTTTGTTGTTAAAAATTCCCTGTTTCAATGGAGATGGTTGGTGAGTACACCATTATGGTAAAGAGATAGTACAAGTCGTGTAGTATTAGTGTCCACACCAATTAGGAGAAGTAAAAGTCGGCCATGACTTACTGAGCAACTTTGAGACTATGGTATCGATCTTATCATTTTCATACATCTGTCCTGTTTTTCGTGCTCTCCACTTTCTCCATGGTTTTACGTAATCTTGCAAAGTAACGGCAGCCATGGCGTTGAGACTTGATGACATTGTACTATGGTATAGATATATCAATCGTCATTGGTCAACCGCACGTATGGTGACAAATAATTCGCTAGGGGTAGGTAAGGTTAAAGTCATGTGTACGCATAAAGGGCCGATCGATATTTAAAGTCAATAATAATTGTTTCTTGTGCATTTGTGCCAAATTTTGGTGGATATTAAGTACATTCTAAAATGCTCAGAGACTTCTATATTTTATAAACGTTGTATCCCCATTAAATAATTTGTTGATCACATCAATAGGGGTCAAGGGTCATGTGAGGTGTGACATTAATGCTTTTTACCTCAGAGTGCCAGCAAATATGCATGCGATGAACAGTCCCTGGAAGCCCGCGATATGTCCAAATAATTCATTTACGAAATATACCAAAATCTGTAAAACGACACAAATATGAATGGTTGCGTAAGATACATTTCCACCCGTGCGAATGATTATGAAATATACATGACGACATCTGCTGAAACTAACCATTTGTCTGCAATAATTAATCCAACATTTTGCCTATATTGAGCATTTACAGTTATCTTGATGTTTTGTTCTGTTTACTTATTAATTATTGATACTTTCTATAACGGTATGACAGCTGGGCCAGAGGTTCAAATTAACTTGGCTATTGGGGGGGGGGGGTACTTTACAATAAAACTAGCTCAATGTTTTCATTTGGCAGGTAAGGGCGAGGCATGTTCTCTCCAAAACGATTTAACTGTAATTTTGTCTGTAATTAAGATTTCGGTTAATTAACTTTATAGACAAAATTCATATATTGAAACCCTTGGCTTTGGGACAAAATGTACTCGTGGAAAAGCAGTTTTATTTTGTATTTTATTTCCCCAGAAATATGTAAAGTAGACAATCATTAAACACTTTCTCGTAATGCATTTATATGGTTAATGGCCGAATTGTAGAATCTTCAAGAACATTTTTGTTTTCATAATTTGATTTAAATGTGCATTTATTCAATGCTTTGATTATAAGGTAAAATATCAGTTTATTGAAATCCTCATAACTTTATATTTATATATTATACCTGGCTATAAATGTGATGAACAAGTGTGTATGTCTTGTATATTTATTATTGCCAAAATAGTATGAAAATCCCTCCTCGTTATGTGTTTCCATGCACTTTTTTATGAGACGTCAATGCGTAATGTCTGGGTATTCATTTTACTCAAGACCTTGAAAAAATATATGACTACAAAAAATGTGGCTTTTATTTCGTAAAAGTTTTTTTGTATTAATCTGACACTTGATAAGGTACAGTGCATATCAAGTACATTAATAAACGAACACATTTATGCTTCATGGGATGTGAGTAACCATATAACCCAATTGTTTGTATGCGTGACACAATGAAAACGCCCACCTGGTCTGAACTGGTGTAGGTTGGCTCATATTTCGGTTCGACTCCCCATATATCATACATATCCGTCACATTAATATCTAGAAAATACATTGATTATTTCTATTATAATTCTGATGCTATGTGATAAAGAGTCTCACAAGTAAGCTGTAATGATTAAAAAAGTAAACAACAAACTCACTTGGTGGGAAAGTAGCGTTGTACGCTGGTTCTAGTCTGGTGAAAATATCTGAAAAAAATAAATCAAAAGTTACAATCGCTTGATCTCAACTTTATGCTTAAGGTGGTTGATTTCAGTTGATAAAAAACACAAAACATTTATAACAATATAATTTATGATAATTTTGTGGTGAACTATGAATTATGTTGTATGATTGGTTTAACGCTATTTACAGAATGACGTCATTCTACTAAGCTTTAGTATATAAGTTTTACAAATACACTAGACCCACCCACGTCCCTAAGGTGCGCCGTTACAAAAGTATGATGCGACTGTTCATGTCTGTGACGGGACTTCGTACACACTCGTATCAACGTGTAGCACAGCTACGTCAGCTTGACAAAAGCATGCCGACGATGGCGGTAAGCATTCAGATTGTTTACCGTGAAAAACGATTTGTTTGATCAAATGGCCAAACTAAATACCAATGCAGAGGTTATCTGCCATGTGTCATGTTAACATCACCGAAGTTTGATTAAATCAGACAATGTATTTGCTAAGATCACTGTACACTGTACACATGTACTCACGCTTAACGTTGGACTAGTTTCTTAGCACCCTGAACAAATCAACCACATGGCCGTGGTGTACGCACACAAATATAAACAAACAATAATAAACTATGATGAATATATAACCTTTTGGAATAAAAAGTAAGAAATGAATTTCAAATTTTGAAGGAATTCATCTTTTATATAAACAAAAGTGGTTCACCAAAAGATTTCAAGCAGAATTCGGTATTTACTAAAAGCAACAAAAAATATTCGCAAAAATAGAACTTATTGCCACGAAATGAATCAATCTGATACAGCCCATCCGAACAATGTCTTATCAAATATCGTCTTGTTAGTAGTTTTCATGAACGAATTGTAAGACTGGTATTGGTGGTATTGACACAAAATGAGCAAAATACTGAACAGATCAACCCAGGGTATCCATATATCAAATATCATAGGAATCAGTTATTTTGAAAATAGCCAATAATATAATTCTTTAAAAAAATACTAAAATAATAAAGTTTCAAACTCATAGTCATGAAAACAACAACTACGGGAATTAATAAAAATAGAGAATTGATACTTTATTAATCTCACGGTACCTTATAGAATATGAAATGAATTTTTAAACATTATATGGTGAACAAATACTCTTTTGAAAACAAAATTTGGAATGAAAATGATTTATATTACATAATTAAAACATAATTAATTGGCAACTGAGTACTAATAGTAATAACCAGAAGTAAATCCTGGTGGTGAGTCAACTATTTTGACAGTACGGAGCATGTACAACAGTTAAAACAATGCTCACTTGTATAGTGCTTTAGTACTTGGCGCCACGTGACGAACAACTAATGGCAGATCGCGCGGTGTGTCAATGCGCGGCACGGTTACTACAGTACTAGCAACCGTGGTCGTACTTACTGTTGTAATATGCATATGTGACGGCGCCCGCACTGTACAGAAGAGGCTGGAAGACCCATTGCATTGGTAAATTATACATCACAGCCCTGTCGAAATAAAATGCACAAAATACTTAATTTGTGAGAATTGTAAAAATCACCAAACACCAAAACATCTTCAGTTTCCGTGGGTCATGTTGTTTATTTAATTACATGTAAGACTTTTTTTGACATTCTATTTAACATTCTGTGATAACAGTACCCAAGTTTAATATCACCCGAATTTTAGATTTATCAACCCGGTTATATATTAGAATATGTCTGTGTATTTTAACAAAAATGACAAGAATGTTCTCTAAAATTAGAGAAATCAAAATATCTTGACTTGTTCAAATGTCCATTCAAGGTACACATGTAGTGAGTATTAAACTAATCGGAGTAGAAGTTTGCAAAGAAAAGTCGAAATTAAAAATTGATCAAAAATTACAAAAATATTCATTAATAATAGAGAATTGACGATATCATCAAATAATTAAATCTCATAGAGGTCAGAAAAGGTGTTTAAGTTTATTGGTGTTAGTATCGAACATATCGTGGCGTACGTGGTGGTATTATTGAGAGCCACAGTAACAGATAATTTACAAACGAAATGTTGTTTATATTCAATAGCATAAAATATATCATATAGTAGTCCCACAACAGCTATAGGAACCTAGAAGTGCGCCGTTACAATAAAGACAATATCATGTAGCCCCCTCCATCCATCAACATTTGTAAAAGCTACACATACGCTGATACGTATTATTGTTACAATACTCAAACATCACGATGTTTTACCTTTTAGACTCTTTGACAGTAACCGTGGAGATGAATCTCTGTATTCCGGTCTGACTGATTAGCAATGCCAGAAAGTTCATTCCGCCACCGATGAACGCATTCAGGAATGTCACTCGCTCCGTCAAGTCAACAGGAAAGCTAACAAACGATAAAATACATTCTCACAATAAACTCAACATATACTTTTGAATACAGGTTATTTGCCAATGCTAATATCACTAATATCACATAATATCACAATTCTAATTGTTTTCATGGAGGGCGTCGGTTGTCGCGTCGCGTTTTGTTCGATATTAATCCCATGTAACCTAGACAACGCAGGTAAAGGTAAGATACATTGTTTTTTCACAATACATTCGAACACGTGCTGCGTCACCGCCGCCTTTTAAATAAACAGTTTTCCAGGCAACAACACCCGAGCTTGAATGTAATGTTACTATTGTCGCTCCTAACCTTTTTCCTATAACTGCAAGTGCATGGAAATTTTACCAAATAAACCAAATTTCATGTCTGAAATAGGGCTGTGACAATTCATTGTAATTTAAAGCGGGGGAGTC